CCAACCCCTGATCATTTTAGTTGCCCTCCCCTCTCCCAGCCTCTCTCTTCCCCTCTCCCACCTCTTTTTCCCAGTCTCCCCCAGTTTTGTTCCATAAAGAGAGATTCTATTTTTGACCACATGTTTTCTTTATTTTGTACATCAGGAAGGGGGGCTATGGAAGGGTAAGTGGAAGGAGGTGAAGGAGGAATGGGGTACGAGTCCCCGATGGGGAGGACTGGGCTGGCTCTGCGGGCTTCTGGGGGTGGAAGCTCTCCTGCAGCCCCCCAATTACCGCCTCTCCCCAAATGGCAGCCTGTGGCAAGTACAGCCGGGCTGATGGCCGAGTGCTGTGGTGTGCCAAGTGTGGGTATTCCGGGCACTCCAAGCCAGGACTGCTTTGCAAGCGGGGCACCCCTGAGAACTGTCTGTCCAGGGTGGGGGTCGGGACCCTTTAAGCACAGCCCTCGGCTAGCCTGAGACAGCAGCTCCATGCTCTAACTCCTCATCTGATGCCCTGCCGGCACTGCTTCCGGCCATCCTTAACCTCTGTTCAGGGTCCACTCTGTTTTTAAGTCTAGCTGTGCTAATTCGAATTAGCTTAGTTCGAATTAATTAAGTCGAACTAAGTTAGTTCGAATTAGCGCTGTAGTGTAGACATACCCTCAGAGACAGACTAAGGGTTTGCCTACACTTGGCCACCCTAGTTCAAACTAGGGTGGCTAATGTAGGCATTCGAACTTGCAAATGAAGCCTGGGATTTAAATATCCCGGGCTTTATTTGCATGTTCCCGGGCGCCGCCATTTTTAAATGCCCTGTAGTTTGAACACCTGCCCGCGGCTACACGTGGCATGGACTAGGTAGTTCGAATTAAAGCTCCTAATTCGAACTACTGTTACTCCTCATTGAGTGACATAACCTGTTGGCAAATCTCTAAGAACATTCCAGAATTCAGAAACTGAAGTCAATTTTTTGGCAATGTGCTTCTTGCCAGCTTTGACTTCTGCATCCAGACTATTATTTTCAATTTCTCATAATCAAGAAAATTTTCACTTTTTGGGTCACAAGCAGTTAATGCAGAAAGCAAATTGGAGTTGGATCATCTATCAAGCGCTACAAGAATTCTGTCCAGAATAGGAGAGTAGAAATCAGATTTTATAGGTTCTTGAGTGTTCTTGGGAACATAATGTGTAGATGGCTGACCTAATGTATTTAAAACAAAATGTAAGGCCATCCTGGGAGTTATTTTTTGCAATTGTTATAGTGGACATTGGCACAGTCACCCTGTAAGATATACATGACCACTGTGGCCAATCTGTGGAACAAAATATCATTGAATCTTGAGAACATTCCTGAGAGAAAGCTATGCAATGCCTTGTAAAATTGCCAAATGTGACACGTCTCATTCAGGGCACAGATCACATCTCTACTCTCTGGTTGCCAACCAACCTTATAGGAAAGCATTGCCAGATTGGGACGTCACTTTCTCCCTACTTGAGGCCTTGTCTACACAAGAGACTACAGTGGTAAAAACCCTGTGCTGCTGTAAAATTGCTTGTGTAGCCACTTTAGGCTGACAGGAGAGACCTCTTCAATGGACATAACTTAAACCATCCCCAAAGCATCAACATATCGTTGTCCACATTGGTGCTTTTGTCAATGTAAACTTAGGCCACTCAGAGGAGTGTTTTTCACGCCCCTGAGTGACATAAATTATAATGAGAAAAGAGCTAATATACACAGCCTGATTTACAAACAGGAAACTGGGTAGGCTAGATCAGGCCACGGAGCTGACAGCTGTGGTAGAAATTAACTTAGCTTGCTTTTAAAAAAAAAAGAGGTGTCCTGTGGCACCTTGAAGACTAACAAATTTATCTGGGCATAAGCTTTCATGGGCTATGGCCCATTTTGTCAGATTCATCACGCGAAATGGGTTCCAACCCACAAAAGCTTATGACTAAATACATTTGTTAGTCTTCAAGGTGCCACAGGACCCCTTGTTGTTTTCACTAAAACAAACTAACATAGCTACCCCTCTGAAACTTAGCTCTCTAAGCATCCTTCTCTCTTCCCTGTTCCATTGTCTCATGTATTACTCCTTCTGCTACTCTTTGATTGTAACAATGGGGCCATCCTTCACTTAGGGAGCTGGAGTGGCTGCTCACTGACTGCTGGAATGACTTTGACCTCCAAGTATGGAAACTCAAAGTGAGAAGGAAGTAGTGGAAATGTATAAGCTGAATCTCATAATTCATGAGATAGTTCTATGTGATTTTTCTCCCAATGAGGCAGATCCAAAGCACACTGAAATTAGCAGAAAAGGCAGTGTAGACATCAGTGAACTTTGGACGAGGGCCGTAGATTGCAGTGTGCTCAACATACACAGTCCATTTATTTAAATTATTAAACAATTTTCAAGCATGTTCTGTCTTTTAAAAGAAGTCTGTGGCCAGACTTCTGGTAGGAAGAACAATTTTATCCACAAGTATTAATCTTTGCCAATTGTATGACTTTTACAGAAGTTTCCTTTTATCCTGAGACTATGCAAGGCAAAACAATATCTTTATTTACTTACATGAGCTTATTGCACACTGGGGGTAAAAAAGCAGTTTTGTTTTCTTCAATCCATTTTCTTACATTTACAAGCAGCTCCATGGCACACCAGCAATGCGATTTTTAGAGGAAGTTAACGAATTTGCACAGAAGAATGCAGAAAGCACTCTTGTTGAGTGGTTAGGTTACTCCCACCACAAAGCTCATGTGATTGGTTGATAAGATAGAATTGTTCTTCATGCTACGGTGAAAAGGGGAACTACTTTGATCAGCCAAAGGTTATTTTGTAGAGCAAACTATTTTCTAATAGCTTAGTTAATGATCAACTGATGCAGTTTAAAAAAAATCTAGATCTTTGCTTAGGTTTGTTTAAATATACAACCTTTGCTTTAGCAGGGCTAGAAGGAAGAAAATCAATCAGTTTGTATTCATTATCTTGTTGAAGGTACAGGTTAAATGTCAGTAAATCGCATTATCATGAAAATAATATACTAACTAGACAGTTGTTTAGAATACAGTCTAACGGAAGAAAGGCAGAATTGTGGCTGCATAATGATATATATTTATATATAAATGGATATTTTAAATTTTTTAATAAATAGCTATTCCTGAAGTATTTAAGAATGGAATAATGAGTGACTTTGTTCATGACGTTTAACTTGTTACTACTGCAAGTAGAGAATTTAGGTCAGATGTCAACAGGTTGGTATTGTAAGAAATTCACAGCTCCTGGGAAATAAAATTGTTACTATGTCAACAAAATGTTAGAAACTGCCTGCTGCCAAAGCACAGGCCTATTGAGTTGAGTTGAAGGAGATTCTCTCTCTCTCTCTCATGTTTTAGAGTGTAACCCTGTCTGTCTATGTGTCTGTTTGTCCATTTGAAGCCCCCAGAGCCTGGCCCTCCCCAGACAAGCTGCAGACTGCAGGGGGGCAGCTGCAGGCAGGAGCAACTCCTGGAATGAGGCCCCTCCCCAGAAAGCCCGCAGGAAATGGGGGGGGGAAACCCGGGGATCCACCCACCCAAGCCTCTCGCTCTCCCGGCAGGGACCCACCCTCCTCCTCCCCCCCCCCTGCCCCCCCAGCCTCGCTCCTGCCCAGACAGCCTGCAGGCAATGGGGAGGAGGGTGCTGGAGATCACAGACAGCCCCCAGAGCTTCACCCATCTCCCAATATAGACTGCAGGCCACATGGGACATAATTTTTTGAATTTGCATATCCTCTTTCGACCGTTCTGCGTAGTCTAGATATGTCCAAAATGTGGTATACATCCCTGAATTATATAAAGTTGGTAATACAGGTATTTATCTTGGGCACTCTCATTAGCTTGTGTATTTAATATAATTTATTTTGTATGCAATTAGGCTTTTTCTGATTTGGTTATATCAGTGTATATCTGGAGTAACTGTTGAAGATAATTGCATCTAATCTACAAATTCCATTTGTGCATGTAAACAGAGTTCATGCTAAAATACAAGTGAGTGTTGTTTGTATGAGTACAATCTTGTGCATACATGTGTCAGTGTGATAAACTATTTATGTAGAATTTTGGGGGCAGAAATGGAAGTTGAGTTGAAGCCTTTATAAATGTAACCCTTGAAGGGAAACAGTGACAAGAGGGAGCAGTCATACTTGCAAAACATGCTCTCTGAAGCAGGATGCCCTTCCCTACATGGGCAGATGTGTAGAGACATCACCATGGTATGTCTACAGTAGACTTCTTTCTGCAAAAAATTCCCACGATTGGTAATACTGATGTAAGCTCCATCAGTGTCAGCAATATATGAGTCCTAGTCTTTTTAATTTAGTTGCCTTCTGAGCTAGATTACATAGTGCTAAAAACATCTGAGTCATAGCTACGCTATAATCTCAACTTGTTGGGCAACTGCAACCATGACAAATTTCCCCATGAATTGGAAATAATTAGCTAAAATTAGAACTGATGGGTCAAATTGTGTTCCGAATCCTGCCTTCTTTTCTGCTGCCTCTTATGTGTCTCAGATTGTGCCACGGGAAGTTGAAAGGACTCTATCCCCCCTTTCCTTCATATGCAGCCAACTGGAGGGAAACTGGACCAAATTTAGCTCCCTCTTTCTTTTAGCCAGTCAGCAGAGCTCTTATCTCAGCTCATCAGGTATCAGACAGCCTCATAAGGAGGTGTGTTTAGGACCACTGTTGCTATGCCAGATGTTCTTTCGGAGCTGAGACAAGCCTCCCTTTCCCTCTTGTACTCTCCCTTTCATACAGCCTGACAGTTGTGAATGATGCTGAAAATACATAACTATGCACGCCTGCCTGAAAGTTATGTGTGTGTGTGTGTATTCCCCCTTCTTTTTTAATTAATTTAGCAGACTGCAGTATTGTAACCCCCAACACTTAAAAATCATGACTCAGCCTCATCCACTATCATGAGATTGGTTTTAAAATCATGTGATTATGGAAAATAATAGATTTGGTGTGTTTTCTGCTTTTTAAGGGTGCACTGGATCTCATTTTGAAGCTGTCTTCAAAGCCATGAAGGCTAAAAATTTACTTTTTTTTTTTAAGAATGAAAGCTGAAATAATCACATATCACTTGACTCCAGGAGCTGGGAGTTTAAGTAAAACAATGTATCATGGGACTCGTGACAAAATCATCAGCAACACTGATGTCTGGTGTCATCCCCTTAGAATCACTTCTGAATTTTCTCTCTTGTTTATGATTCTGCATAAGTTTGATGGCATAATGTGAGGTCATGCCTACTGTATTGTAAAATTCTTATGGAAGATCACAGTTTGTGGTTATCACCTCCTGGGCAAATAAGCAGAGAACTGGTTGTGAATTATTAGGCATTACTATGGTCTGATTAGTGAGTCTGTACAGATCTGTTTGCCATTTTCTGAACACCTGGGGCAGTTTCTGTTCTATTTCCATTCTCAATTTGTAGGGGATTTTCCACTGTCTTTTATAAAGAAATAAACATATAGACATTTTTACCAATTAATATTTATAAGGATTTGCCCTTTCTTGTCATAGCTTAGTCTTCTTAATATTTTTCTATATGTGTGAACATGAAAGGGTGATAACATGGTTTCTGCTTAACCCTGAATTTAAATTCTCACTGAAATGCACATAAGTGGCCAGATTGGCTTCAAAATTGATATGTTGGGGATAAAGTGCACATTTGAGATAATTTGATCGAAGTGTTTCTTAGTGTTACACTGGTATAACCTAAGGGGTGACTTTAAACTAATATAGCTACAACAGAAAATCTCCAGGAGTGGACACTCATATAAGAATGTCTTTTTCCAGTTTATCTTGTCTCTTCAAGTGATTTAGGCTATTCCAAAACAAAAACAAAAAGTCATTATGCTGGGGATTGACGCTTCAGTGATTGATCCACCAAGCTGTCGATTTATCGCGTCTGCTTAGACTAGGGATGTTCAAAGTCGATAAAAATAGTAAACAGATAACCGCTGAAAATCTCAGTGGTTGAAGTGTCACATGGTATGGGCTCTACAGCTTAAATAAGCTTTATACTGCAGAGTCTGTAGCAAAGCTTAGGTTTCATTGCAGCATTGAAGCCACCTCCCCGGGAGTGGGGAAAAGTTTAACTGATAACATTAACAGATAAGCATCAGCTTATCTAACATTCCTACCTTAGACACAATATATCAATCTCTGAGCGCTCTGCTGTCGATACTGGTACTCCACTAGGATGAGAGGAGTAGCCGGAACCGATGCAAGCGCAGCTCCCTGCTGGTTTTACTGCAGACACACTTCAGCTATGATTGACGGTCGGGGTTAGTGTAGCATCCACACATGGAGTTGTACTGGTACCGGTAATTACACCAGTATTACTGGTATATTTTCACATGGTTTTAAAAATTTGACTAAAATTGACTAATTTTTCACACGTATTGCTGGAATGCTTTTACATATAGTGCATGGCACCAAAAAAGGTTGAACATTTGAAATAATAAAACATTTTAGGCTTTGCAGTGCTATGTCCTGCTGCAAACTACTGGCAAGTTGTACGATGAGAGATCTTTCCATTCACACTACATTTTAATTTAGGGGAAGTACACTGGGATGGGAAACTGCACAGAATTTTTACTCCTCTGTGGCAATGATTTTGGTCACTTTATATCCTTATTATAGATTAATACAGGTTGAACCTCTCTAATCCAGAACTCTTTGGTCCAGCCACATTTGTAGTCCAGCAGGATGTTGCTGGACCAGAGAGCCCCAGTGGCTAGGAATGGGAGCTGACGAAGAGTCTAGTGCAGTGTTTCTTAAACCGTGTTCCGCGGCACACTGGAGAACGGAATTCAAAATGGCTGCCCTTAAAGGGGCAGGCAACCTTTTTTTTTTTTACTCAATAACTTTTCCCCGACCATTTTTTCCTCAATAACTACCTCCTGGCCCTTCCCCCCACCCCTTTTTTTGGTCAATAAAAAATCCTTGGTGTTCCTCATAAAAAAAATTGTTTGGTGTTCCTCGGTCTTAAAAAGTTTAAGAAACACTGGTCTAGTGGCAGGAGAGCTGGCAGCTGGAAATGCAGCCAGTCCAGCAGCAGGAGAGTCAGTGGCTGGGAGAACAGCCAGGGCTGGGAGTGTAGCCAGTCCCATCCTTGGGGGTGTAGCAGGGGATCCAGAGACAGGGCCTTCACTGCCATGTGCTAGGCTCCAGACCCCACTGGGAAACCCTGCAGCAGCAGCCTGCTGACCTGCTGGCCTTCAGGGCTCACCACCGCTAGCCCTCCACTGGGACTTTCTGCTCCTGGAACATCTGTGGTCCAGCCAGAGAGTTCTGGTTTAGAGAGGTGCAACATGTACAATTACATTAACTATCTCAGGTTAATTTAGAATCCGTTAACATGGGTTAAAACAGAGCTACAAACTCTAATTTAGATAGGCCCACTGTCATCTGATATCGGCCTTTATATAAGCAATATTAGCAACTGGTTGACAGAAATTACACTGAATGCATGGAACTGCCTCTCTGCCTTTTTTCCAGTTGCACAATGAACATTGAAGAGACCAAGAATGCATTAGAGAATTTCTTGCAATTAGTTTCATGCAATTTAGGCAAATATTCCTCAATCCCAAAAGAATGACACAATAATGTTCTAGCTTTCTAAAACCACTTTTAGTGGAAATTAGTTAGTCTGCAGTGGTCACTTAGAAAAGCAATGCTCATCTTTAAGAGGAGTTAAATTTGTC